CCCCGCCCCCCCCGGGTCTGTGTCTGTGCTGCTGCTGCTGCTGCTGCGCGTGATCCAGCGATTATAAATCTGTGTAACCCTCAGCCGCCTCCGCCGCTTCTTTGGCTCCGCGCACGGACCCCCGGATCCCCCCAAAATCCTCCTAAGGTCCCCCCCAAAATCCTCCTAAGATCCCCCCCAAAATCCTCCAAAAATCCCCCTGGGATCCCCCAAAATCCTCCCACGTGATCCCCCCAAAATCCTCCTAAAATTCCCCCCAAAATCCTCCAAAAATCCCTCGCAGATACCCCTAAATTTCCCCCAAAATCCTCCTAAAATCCTCCCAGAATTCGCCCAAAAATCTCTCACAAATTCCTCCTTAAATCCCCCCCAGATCCTGTTGGATCCACCCTCAAAATCCCCCCCCAGGTTCCCCAAAATCCCCCCCCAAATATCCTCCCCAAATCCCCCCCAGATCTCCCCTAAAATCCCCCTCAAATTCCCCCCAGATCCCCTCAAAAATCCCCCCAAATCTCCCCAAATTCTCCCCCAAATCCCCCAGCCCACAGAGGGGGAGGGGGCTGGGTCACTCTGTGAGTTTGCGGATCCCAGGTGGTTTTTGGGGTTCCCAGGTGCTGATTTTGGGGTCCCCAGGGGGGTTTGGGGTCCCCGTGTGGGGTCAGGAGGGTGATCCGGGATTTCCCCATAGATCACCTGGATGACGTCACTGGATTCCCTCCAATGACGTCACTGGATTCCCTCCGGTGATGTCACAGACCCCCCTGTGGGACCTCACCTGGTCCCAGGTGTCCCCTCGCCCTTTCCCCCCTCCCCCAGTCCTCGGGAGTGCCCTGGAAGTTGTGACGTCACGCCACGATGCCATTCTCGATTGCTACGTCATCACCCCGATGACGTCATCGCCGACTAGGGGGCGGGACGTTCTCTCAGGCCCCGCCCCTTTTCCCGCCTTTGCGCGGTTCCGCCACGCTCAAGATGGCGCCGTTGCCGCGGTAACCGCCGGGGGGCGGAGCTTCTGCCACACAAAAAATGGCGGCGCCCGCCGGGGGCGGGGCTTAGGCGGGGCCTTTCTGACGGAGAAGGCGGGACTGGGATAAACTGGGATGGACTGGAACCCCCAGCATTCCTCCCAAAAAGGTTCTGAGCCACCCGCAGGTGACCGGGGGCACGCCCAGACTCATTTCTGGCTGGGGGTGGGGGCTCAAACCCCCTCCCAAAAATCCCCAAAATGCCGAATCCTCTCCCCGGACCCTCAGGGGGGATCCGTGTCACTGCTAGTGTCACACCTGAGGGATTATTGTCACACCTGAGGGTGCATTGTCACACCTGAGGGATTATTGTCACACCTGAAGGTGCATTGTCACACCTGAAGGTGCATTGTCACACCTGAGGGTGCATTGTCACACCTGAGGGATTATTGTCACACCTGAAGGTGCATTGTCACACCTGAAGGTGCATTGTCACACCTGAGGGTGCATTGTCACACCTGGGGCTGTTTCACACCTGAGCCTGAGGGGAGACACCCCAAAACTCCCTAAAACCTCCCCAAACCCTGGGACCTTCATCCCGAGCCCCTTGCTGAGGAACCCTCGCCCGCCTCCTCTCCTCTCCCCGCCCCCCCGGAGCGTTTTGGGGTCCCGGAAGGGCAAAACTGGGGCGAAAAGCGCCAAATTTGGGTGTTTGAACAAAAATCCGTTACGGGAAAGGCCGGAATAGCGCCTGCGCCGGAACGAGGTGGAGCCGAGCATGCGCCTTTACGACCGGCACGGACGCGCATGCGCAGTGAGCGCTGCAGCCGTTAAGCGCCACCATCCGGGGACTGGCGGGCGCCATCTTTGTGGCGGGTGGAGGAGACGCGTCCAAAATGGCGGCTCCCAAGCGCCAGTAGCCGGCGCGGCGGGCGGGCTTTTCTCGGCTTTCAGCGCGGCGGCGGCGGCTCGGAGCGAGCGGCGGCGGCGGCGGAAAGCGGCGCCCGGGGTCGGCGGGCGGAGGGTGGCTGCAGGTGCGGAGCGGCGGCGGAGCGGCGCGGAGAGCGGCGCATCCGGGTCCCGCGGCCGCCGCCATCTTGGGCCGCCGCGGAGCTGCGAGCTCCCACCTGCGCCATCTTGGGGCGCCGCATCGGGGCTGTCCCGGAGGGGGGACGAGAGGAAGGGGCGGCGGGGCCTGAGCGAAGAGCGCGGGGAGCGCTCAAAGCTCCGCTCCCGTTCCGGACAGGCGCCGCCATCTTGCGCGCGCGGCGAGGAGGAGGAAGAGGAGGAGGACGAGGAGGAAGATCCGGGCACCGGGCGGCGCCATCTTGGACTCCCCCTTCCCACAGCAGCGCGCCGCCATCTTGTGACCCCTCCCCCGCGCACCCGGGCACCGGCCGCTCCGCCGCCTTGGAGCCGCTGCGGTAGCGGAGCCGCACCCGGTAAGGGCGGAATGAAGCGGGGAGCGCCGGGAGGGAGGGTAGGAACCTCGGGGGCCCCGTAGAGGCCGACACCGGGCATCAGTTCCGTCGGATGGGCGGCGCCATCTTGGGAGGGGACGCGCGGGGTGTCATGGCGGCCCCGTGAGCCGACATCCGGGTCCTTCCCCCCCACCGCCCCCGGGGCGCCATCCTGGGAGGGGCCGCCGCATCCTGGTCCCGCGCGCCGCCATCTTGAGAGTCCGCGGGGGGGCGGGGGGCGATGGCAGCGCCGGGAATCCCCGGCTCGTTTGTGTCGCTCGGAGCCGCGGGGCCGTGAGGCCTCAGAGCGCCTCCGGCATGCCGTTAACCCCGGGGGGGCGGTGGGGAGAGCGAGGGAGCTCCGGGGCAGAGGAAGAGGAGGAGGAGAAGGGGGCGCGGTTTGCGGAGGGGGCGGTACCCAAGGAGAAGCGGGGCGCCCAAGATGGCGGCGCCCATGGCGGTCTGAGCGCTCCGTACAGCGCTGCGCCGCCGGGAAACGGGCCGTGTCGCCGGCAGCCAGGCCGCGGGGGATTCGGTGTGTGCGGGGGGACGAGGCCGGGAATGCCGGGGAGCGATTACGGGGCAGCGGGAAGGCCGGGAGGGGCGGCACCGGGAGTCGGCGGGGCTCGGGGGGAGCGGGAAGGAGGGAAAACCGCGCAAAAGGCGGGCTGGGGGGCGGCTCCTTTAAGAGGCGGTTGGAGTGGGCGTGGCCACGCCCTTCCGTGACCACACCCCCTCCGTTGGCGCCATGGCCGCGCCCCTTCAGCCGGCTCCGTACAGTTCCCCCGCGCCCCTCCGCCTCCCGCCCCAGCCCCGCCGCTACCGGGCCCGGCCGGAGGCCACCGAGATGGCGGTGAAACTCCTCCCGGTCCCCCTCCCAAAATGCCGCCGCCTTTTCCCGTGCCGCCTTCCCCACAATGTCGCCCCCCGTCCCCGGCCAAGATGGCGCCGCCCGGGTCCGGAGGGGGCGTGTCCGCGTGGGCCCCGCCCACTCCCGTCGCTTCCCGCCCACCCTCGGCGGCCGCCGGACACAGGCGCAAGATGGCGGCTCCCAGGGCGGCGTGAGGGGCCGCCGCCGCCGCGCTCCGCCCGCAGCCGCAGCCCCGCGCCGGGAGCCGCTGCA